TTTGTTTCTTTCAAAGATCGCAAACAAATTAAACAAAAGGCCTTTTGTAAATTTATTACCGCGAGGAGTGTCGTGGTATCAACCATGATGTAATGTATCAATGATGGTCGTATTTTTATGCGATCCCTCGAAACGAATCTGTCATTAAAAGTGTCGTCGCGCGAAGGCGCCTATCGAACGTCGCGCCAATAAGCACGAAGAGCCACCGAGCCCGCGAAAATCCGAGGGCACGACGCCCGGGCGCGCCGCGGCGCGGCGCGGCGCGCGCGTTCGTTCGGGCATCTTGGGCAGCCGCGGAAGGGAAGGACGGAGGACGCTATGGATGTGTTCGGATCGACGAAAGCACGCGCTCAGAAGAGCGACGGTGAGCATCGGTTTCTCGTCACATGCTGTTGCGGCTGCATCGGATAGACTGTCTTGCTTGCTCGTTGGTATCGCTTGCGGTGAATCGCATGATCTGCGCGCGTTCGTAGAAAATCTCTCGGAGTATCTTTCACCTTATAACGTTTCATTTGGCGTTTTTGGCGTTATGTTTGGGGGCGCTAGCGCTTCGGCGTACATGGCGGATAATCGTCGCACTAACTGCGCGCCGTACACACGAAGTAGACGAATCCGTCGTGTTGACAGGAAAAAAACGGAAATTTCACGAGATCCATTTAGCCTCGGTCACGTCAAGCCATTTTTCTGCATCTATGACATTTGAAAGAGAGAATGATCATTCCATTTTCACATCCCGCTTAAACACATCTTTGCAACTTGCCTATATCTAATGAATGGACTTGTAAAAAGTAAACAATTAGAATCAGGAACGTAGAAATTGTCTTATTATCGAGAGCTTTAATCACTTGAAATTTGCTTACATCTGGTCATCATCGTCATCTCCTGTCTGTAAAGTGTTTAATTGAATAATTATTTTTCATAAAAACGTAATGCAGAGTTCTCAGAGAAAAGAAGCGAGGCAAAGTGAAGTGCGAGTTGTACTGCGACTGGCTGCCCACAACTTTAATAGCTGATACATTGTAGCCTGCCTAGAAGTAGTATCTCTATATACTGTGCCTATCCTGAACTCTATAAATGTTTAAGCCTGGTAGTTAGCTATTGCAAAGTACATTGGACCCTTTCTTTTTTTTGGCAAGGTGCAGTCTGCTTTATCTTTCAGATCTAGAGGTCACGGGTATCTCCCGTAGCGGACGCGTGAGGAAGAAATCCTCCAAGCTTGTCGACTTCGAATCTGACGATCTTACGGAGAATAAACTCAAGCGACAGAAGGCGCAGCAGTTGCAGACTCAACAACTCTTGGATCAGTATGAAGTGCAACAGCAGCAGCAGATATTGCCCACGCAATCTAATCAGGCGGGTAACGTCGGGCAGCAGAGAAAGAATTCAGGCTCGAATCATGTGCAACAAAGGATCAAGATGGACCCCTTGTCTGACAATGAGGGTCAGTCGTCTAGCTCGGAATCCGATGATCCCTCTGGGATAAACGAGGATGAGAGATACAGTATGGACTCGGGGAGCGACAATGAAGTAGATCCTCTCATGATCGACGAAAGAGAAATGGGATTCAGGAAGCTAGAGCCACCACCAGGTCAGGAAACCCCATCACAAGCAAATAGTTTATATATGCTTGAAAAATGTAAGAAAAAGTTGGTTATTAAGGATGGAAAAATTATAGGCAAGACGAAGACACAGCGCAAGGATAAAGGGGTATGTACTAATGAAGAACCGATATCGAAAGAAGGGCCTTAATTTTTTCATATTTTTAGAAGACAAGATTTACCGCTTACATGCTATGGGCAAAGAAAGTTAGGCCAGAACTGTTAGAGCAAGATCCTTATATGGGTACCTGAGCTATATTATTTTTTCTTCCATAAGCAAGTGCATGCAACTTCGATGTTGTTTACCGATCGTTGCTTTTTGTAGATTTTGCGGCAGTTTCTAAGCGATTAGGAGAGCTGTGGGCTACAGTACCACATCTGGAAAAGTACAATTGGCGCAGGCGTGCAAAGCGCTTGGCAGCAAAGCCTCATTCTTTGTCGCCAAGTAAAGATGAGCCCGTTTGGAAAATGCCACTGCCCGCCTCGCGAAAAAAATTCATTAATAAAATTGGTGGGTTTTTTTGGTTAATTGTATATAGGCAATATGTACATGATTTGTATGTGTCATGTTATGTATAGTTTACGTATGTCTGTCTTGTTTCCCGTGTGCATGTGCATTAGCCAAAAATATTAAATCGAATATATATATTATGTATATAAATATGTGTATACATATATATATGTCTTGTGACTTTTGTAGTTATATCTTGATTTGGCTCTCGTGTGCATGTATTTCATTTAAATACTCAATACGGCATTAATAAATTATTCTGTACATATTGTATTTCAGGCAATGGGAAAGAAACAAAGCCCGCTTCTGCAAAAAAAACTATTCAACTCGGCGTGCCATCTGTTGTTGGGAACGTTCCAGTCTCACCACCGTCGAATCGCACCAGTAAAGATCTGGTTAATGAGCCGGTAATAGGCACGGGAATGTACAAAGTCGTTGGAACGCAGCCAATCGATGTTGCAGCCCATCTCAAATTGCTTGGTGAGAGCTTGACAATCATTGGAGAACGTTTGAAGGAACACGATGGTCAGATAGCTGTTTCGGGCAGTCTTTCGGTTTTACTGGATTCGTTGCTCTGTGCCTTAGGTCCGTTAATTTGTTTAACGCAGCAATTGCCAGAAACTAATGGAGCTAAACCTGAAACACTTTCCCAAATGCTCGACAACATTGCTTATCTTATGCCTGGTCTATAATGTACAAAATATAGCCGGAAAATATGTAAAATATTTAGAATATAATGTAAATATTTATATGACAATTTAGATTACAAAAAAATAGATTATATGAGCGTGAAAACAATAACAATGTTTATTTGCTAAAAATTTAAATCTTAAACACAGATTCTCGTTATATTTCGTCTACTGTCAGATAAAAAATAACATTTATGTTTTATATAAATAATATATTTGTATAAAAGTTATAATAAATATTTAAATAGTACTGCATTATATAACTAAGTAACTGTACATGGCATATAAATACAACGTCACAATTATTGTTCTGTAAGCGAAATGGGCGGGCATGTACAAAATAGATTCTTATCACCATATATGTCGTCTATCCTTCCAACGCTTGGCCAAATCTTGTTACTTCCTTTCACAAATGTCTAAAAAAAAAAGACCAATTAATGTGTTATTAGTACATGTTTGATATAATGCTCACGAGCTACTTACAGCAGGGAAAGCTGCTAACTCTCGCGAATATGGTCGATTCCATTCGGTCGTTATTACTTGCTCCTGCGTGTGAGGTGCCATTTTCAAGGGATTCTGTGCAATATCTAATTTTCCTTCTTCAATGTCCGCAATCTCCTTCCTTATAGCTATCGAGAATTACAAATGTGAGTAAACGACGAGAATGTTTAATGTTCGACAATAAGATATTTTAAGCGTTATTTAAATTTTTTTTAGAACTTACAAATTAAAGAGTCACAGAATCTATCCAACTCAGTCTTGTCTTCGGATTCGGTCGGTTCGATCATTAAGGTACCGGCTACGGGCCAACTCATGGTCGGTGCGTGGAAGCCATAATCCATCAGTCTCTTCGCAATATCAACGGCCTCAACATTGGCAGTTTTCTTGAAGTCTCTTACATCTAGGATGAACTCGTGCGCAATCAGCCCGGTTTCACCCTTGTACAACGTTTTGTAATACTTCTCCAATCTCTTGCTCATGTAATTGGCGTTGAGAATAGCCACCTGCGTAGCTTTGCGTAACCCTCTCGGACCCATCATCTTGATGTAAGCCCATGAGATCGGTAAAATAGCGGACGATCCGAAAGGTGCGGCCGATACGGCACCGAAATTCTTCAACTCACCATAGCCGTTACTCGAACAATTTACTACTGGATGATTCGGCAGGAAAGGTATAAGATGTCGCTTCCTATAAATTATATATATTTTTATATATTTAACTTTAACAATGTACAAGATTCTAAAATTAAAATAATTGCTTACACTCCGATGGGACCCATGCCGGGTCCGCCACCCCCGTGAGGAATGCAGAACGTTTTGTGCAGGTTGAGATGCGACACGTCGCTGCCGTAATCACCGGGTCGGCACAAGCCAACTTGAGCATTCATGTTGGCGCCGTCCAAGTATACCTGCCCACCGGCATTGTGCACCATGTTACATATGTCGCCAATCGTTTCCTCGAACACCCCGTTCGTCGATGGATACGTGATCATCAGGCACGACAGCGTCTTTTGATACTTGTTGATCATCTCTTTCAAGTGCGCCATGTCGACAGAACCGTCCTTCCGTACGAGAATCGGTTCCACCTGCATACCCGCCATTTGAGCGGATGCGGGATTCGTGCCGTGCGCGGATATCGGAATCAAACAGACTTGTCGATGTTTGTCGCCCCTCGACTCGTGATAACATTGTATAGCCCTCAGACCCGCGTATTCACCTTGCGCCCCGCTATTCGGTTGGAAACTAATACCGTCGTAGCCGGTGATCGCGCACAGATCTCGTTCCAATTCGGCGAATAATTGTTGGTATCCCTCAGCCTGCTCGAGTGGAGCGAAAGGATGTAGATCTGTGAAACCTTTCAAACTGCAAGGCATCATCTCCGTCGTTGAGTTCAATTTCATCGTGCAAGAACCCTGTTAAACGCTAATATTACTAAAGAAGCAAATATATGCGTACGAGTACCAGTACAATATTTGTAACAAATAATAATCACCAGTGGAATCATGCTGTGTACGAGAGATACGTCCTTGTTCTCCAGAGACTTCATGTATCTAACTATTCTCGTCTCCGAGTGATAGCTATTGAAAACAGGATGCTGTAAATACGAGATAGTACGGTGGAAATCCGACTTGTCCAAACTTTTCGCCAGAAAGCTTTCATCTTTGACCACCTCTTCAACCGTAGTGTTTGCCGAAAATATCTTGAAAAGATCATTCACGTCCTCCGTCGTCGTTGTCTCATCGAGAGATATTCCGATCGTACCGTCGTTAAAGTATCTGTAAATTTCGCAGTTTTATTTGATAAAATCATAAACCATTGTCGTCTCTATTTAGGAAAATACCTTAAGTTTATCTTAGCTACATTCGCATTTTCCTTTATCGTCTGCACAGAAATCTTTGGCGACACTGTAATGGTATCGAAGAAGTATATATTATTTATTGCGTTTCCAGCCACCTCCAAGCCCTTCGCCAAAGCTAGCGTCAAATTGTGCACTCTGCTCGCAATGTCTCGTATTCCCTGAGGTCCGTGATACACCGCGTACATCGCGGACATATTAGCCAGCAACGCTTGTGCGGTACAAATATTGCTGGTGGCCTTATCCCTCCTGATGTGTTGCTCGCGCGTCTGGAGGGCCAACCGATAAGCGTCCTGTCCGCTGGAATCTCTCGTAACGCCTATCATTCTGCCGGGCATTGATCGCACCAGTTTCTGTCGGCACGCAAAGAACCCAGCGTGAGGCCCACCGTATCCGAGAGGCACTCCGAAACGTTGACTCGTACCCACGCATATGTCGACACCGAAATCACTCGGCGGTTGAAGCACAGCTAACGCAAGTAAGTCGGTGGCAGCGCAGACGAGTGTCTGTAGCGAAACATATTTGTGATTTTAACATTTTACATGTTAAGTTAATATCCATTCATAAAAATTACAGAACATTTTCCCTTCTGTGGAAATATTTATATCTTTGTTGAGATATATATTATAATTTTTAACAACACATACTCCATTAGCATGCGCCTTCTTGACAACGTCCTCGAAATCGTGGATGCAGCCAGTTGTGTCGGGATACTGCACGAGAATACCGGCAATATCATCTCCGCTGGTGTCTACTTTAAACACGTCTCCAACTTCAAGCGTTAAACCTAAGGAAGCGGCGCGTGTTGCGATAACGCTAATAGTCTGAGGATGCACCCGGTCGGAGAGAAACAATTTTTTTCTCTTATTATGTCGACACGCAAGCGCCAGGGCCTCCGCCGCCGCTGTCCCTTCGTCCAAGAGAGAAGCGTTCGCCACTTCCATCCCCGTGAAATCGCATATCATTGTTTGGTAATTCAGTAAGCCTTCTAGTCGTCCTTGCGAAATCTCGGGCTGATAAGGAGTATATTGCGTCGTCCTGTGGCGAAATGCAATAAAATTGTTTATACGATTCTCTTACGCATCTCACGTTTATCAAATTATGTGGCAACGCGATTTACCATCCGGGATTTTCAAAAATGTTACGCATAATCGTGTGCGGCACGCAGCAGTTATGGTACCCCATGCCTATGTAAGAGCGCCATACGTCATTCTTTTCCGAAATTTCTGTGATCCGCTTTATTAGATCGTACTCGGCTGCAAAAATTATTTGTATTAATTTTTACTTCGTTTTATATGACGATGTAAAATTATAATTATTATTTATTGACATAATATTATGTCAATATGAAAAGAAGATACGAAAATATAATGGGAAAAATATGTAGGTTGTATACGTAGTATATTGCAGCACGCGATATCGGGAAAAGAAATTAAATGTGGAAATCTATGTGACGGCATACGATTAAGTCTGAGAAACACGTGAAAGCGCAGCAGGCGCACGAGATTGAACTGTGACCGAAGATAACATGGAGGGTTATCAATATTAGGGCAAGTCGAATCGCACGGGAAGTCTCGTGACTTGTCACGTTTTCACGGACTGACCCACAGTTATCACGTCGTATCTTACAAGAACAAAAAAATTTATTTTTACTATTTATACAATCTTACAATCTTCTATACAAGAGAAACTTGCGTCATTTTTGCAGACAATGAAACAAAGACCTAACAATTTACTCCAACAATTAACACGATCAAATGTTGATTAAATCTAAATATCGTTGATTAAGAAAACTACTCACTGACTGGCTCGTCAAGATTTAAATTTCCTTTGTGAAGAATTTTAGCCGGTACCGCAGCTTCCGTTAATTCATCAAGACTCTGCAATATTGTGTCGCGCATAAAAATTAATCCAGTTGCGGTACAATTTTCACCGTATAAATGATTTTTCACAAGTAAATTACCTTAAATCCAATTAGACCTAACATTTCTATCTGTTCGTGTTCCCTGGGTCCAATGTGCCTCGCTTGAAATTCCTCCTTTTGCGGGAGCAACTTACTCAAATTCTGCCTGTGTAAACTACTCAATTGCAAACCATGTATATGCCGAGTCACAACGTTGTGCTTATTTAGGAGCCTGGAACATTTTGCCATCTTCAATGTGCACTGCATCGTAACTTTGAAGAATAACGTGCACTCAGAGATATATTGGAAGTCGATTAGAATGCGGCGTTCAGCATTTAATACTACGGTCACTCGAGGCTCTCCTTAAAACTAACAAGTGTTAAAGTTAACGGAGGTTTTATACTCAGTACATATAGATATCACACAGTGATGTCACAACCCCTGATTACAGCTTATGAACTTATCAGCTTTTGAACCTTGAGCCGTTCGACGTCTAGGACAATATTGAGAAATTATTTTCATCGTTAATCTCGTGACGCTGAGAAGTTTAACGTTTGATCTAGTACAATCTAATTTTCTATCCAACGTAAACAAATCTTATTTTGCTTCTATTTTGCAAACGTTTGTGCAACACGTGAAAGATTTCATGTGACGCAAAGTAACTATCGCAAATTTTAATTAGTTATCGATTTAGTACATTATAAGATTCAATTACATTAAAAAAAGATTGCGATAAGACAAGCAAATATTTTATAGTTTCACAAAAAGTTTTTATTTATGAAATGTTTTTGATACAAACATTTGTACGTAAAATAGTTCAATTCATGAGAAATGTTCTAATACATACAAGATTGTTTCCTTATAATAATGGTAATACATTTAATATCGCTACGCTGTATGTACATTTAAAATACTTATTTTAATTAATCTTAATTCAAGAGACAATTAATCGAAGGATTGAGAAAGTTAAAATATAATCGACAAACATCTAAAAATTAAATTGCTCTTTAATTATTCTTGATGGATGTAAAGAAAATAAGTTACCGTAAAATCAAGTTTTATTTCAAAAATTTATCTTGATTTTGCGTAAGTATCTTAGCCGACGATTTAGCATCCAAGAAAAGCGCATTGACTTCCTCAACGTCCTCCTTCTTAATGCTGGTCCTTTCATTGATTTTCGCCGTCAAAGCCGCAGGTGTTAGAAGTTGCAC